CTGGATTTCTCTGTATCGCGTGGTCCACCTTGGAGGAGTCGCCTGTTTGCTGCAGTTCAGATGAACGAACCCTTCGTCTCACCCACACAGGAAGTAATCAAATGAACTGTCAACGAGAGCAGGCTCTCTAGTTTTTCATGTTTTGAAATGCTGTTCGGAGCCCTGCCTCTTTTTTCGAGTGCGCGATCTCTTCCTCACCGCGAAGCTGTAAACGTCATGCTCAACTGTGAGAGCAGAAAATCGCTTTGAACCCAACCCACCACCTGCCAACATGCAGGGGCAGATCATCGACCTGTGTCCAGTACACAATGTTCCACATGTATCTGGATCTTGTGGTACTCCCAATATATTCACGATGTTACGTCACTTGGAATGTATCCGGACTCAGAAACAGTCCGAATACGTTTAGCATGTTTGTGAAGTGCAATGAGGGCCCCATGTGTGAAGTGCGGTGTGGCAGTGCATCTGGACATGGCATGTAGGTCCCTAAATTGGCGCAATGTCGGTTCTAAAGGCTGCACTATTCAACACCTCGTTTACAACAAGATTCCTGAGCATAACTGTTTGCTGAGTGGTGCGGGGCTCGAATCCCTCTCAGGAGTGTATATGTACATGTATAAGGCGTATAGTGAAGGGGGAGTTAAAAGAAGAATGATAAAAATGAATGAATGGTTTCGTTGTGCTCTTCATGTTTGTCCTTTCATGGTTTGTTTCACAAAGGGCACCCTTTTAGTTTGTAGATTTATGACTAAATATATATAAGGCGTATAGCTGAGACTGTACACCATGACTAGATGAGCGGAACCAAATGATTCCGAATTACCTGGCGTTAGTCAATTCGATAATAATAATATCTCAACTTCTCAAGGCTGTTTCTTTTTTCCTTTTAAGCCATATATAAGGTTTGCTTGGATTGGGAGATAGCCCTCACTAACAGTGTGCAGGTGCAACAGAAAGATGAACAGGCACACACAATAGAGACGTATGTGGGATAGCAGTCTAGGGCAGAGACATGGACGTGATGTTTTGCGGAGATCCACCCTTGGGCACTCGATGAGTGGAACATTGTGAAACACAATGCAGTGATTACAGCCTGAGGCTATTTTTTTCCTCCATAGCCAGAGCTATCTTCCTTTATAGCCAGAGCTATCTTCCTCCATAGCCAGAGCTATCTTCTTCCATAGCCAGAGCTATCTTCCTCCATAGCCAGAGCTATCTTCTTCCATAGCCAGAGCTATCTTCCTCCATAGCCAGAGCTGTGTACCCAAATATCAATATTAACGCATTTGAACCCATGACTGTGGGCCAGAGGCCTCATAGTATTAAGGCGCGGAAAAACGTTTTTGAAGAGGAAAATGAGAGGGTGGGCGTTGAAAAAGAGTTGAAACTTGAAAGGGATGGACTACTGGATATTGAGTGCGAACATCAATTAATTATTGATGCTTGGAGTTCACGCAAAATATGAGAAACAATGAACGTGGACTTGGCAATTGTTGACGAGTGTAGCATCCGGGGCGATTGTCATTTTGTGAAGGGGAAACGCTGCACTATTGTGCAGCTCGAAAAGACACGGGCACAAACTATTGCTTCATATTCAGCCTATTTTAGTTATGGATTTTTTTTGTTTTTTTTGAAGACCATATGGAAGACGCCATGACCTGCCCTCGGCAGTCGTCAGCAGGCTAGCTCAGTCGGTAAGGCATGCAAGTGGCATTCAGGAAGTCGTGGGTTCGATTCCCACAGGCCTCACGTATGTGCTCAAGCACACTGGGTTCCTACCACCCACATAATGCCCTCAAGGTTGGCATTAGTAGGGTTGCAAGTCAGCCCTGTTGGTGATGTTAGTATGGAAAGGGAGGAGAGAGAGCGGGAGCTGCAGTGGCGGCGGGCAAAAAAATAATATTGGCATTAGGAGGGTTACTGCCAGACCACCCCCTCTTCCTCCCACCCCCTTTGTGCCTACACAGTCGTCGGCTGGCTTGTGCATCTAGCTGCTGGGGTTCCCCTGAAGCATGCAAAGTCCAGGTGATTTAGCGATGTTCTTAAGTGGGGAGGGAAGCACAAGTTTGGTTTAGGAGATTTTACAGGTAAACAAAGCCAGTATATCAAACACTGTTGTGGCTAAAAAAATGTCATCCGCGAACACCGCATGTGGCCTTTGTCGTGGCTCATATCATGTGGCCTTTGTCTAACCCCCTTTAGAGGCTACATTAGTATATTCTGAACTGGGTTAGAGGCTATATTCTCTGTTGGTGTTCTTGTTGCTGTGACTTGTTTCTATATTTCTCGTATCTAAGCGCTTGCTGCACGTGGTGAGCATAGTGGCAGAAATGGAGGTGAAGGAGGGGAGTTCAGGGTTAGGGTCTAGGGTTTAGGGCTCAGGGTTTTTTATTGTCCAAGTGAGCATAGTGGCGGAAAAGGGGGTGAAGGAGGTGGCTCAAGGTCATGGTTCCAAGGTGTTAGGGTGTTAGGGCTTAGGGTTTTTATGGTCGAGGGTTTAGGGTTTAGGGTTTAGTCATTGAGAGTTGACGGTTTTAGGCCTTAGCAGCATGGAAGCAGCGTGAATCGAAGCAGAGAATCGGACGGATGATTCAGTTTGTCAAGAAGAACTCCTCTTTGCGTCATTGTGGCCGCGTTTCTTTTCGCAATATCGAGGGTTACAACCGACCTCTCTCGGGTTACTCTTGCTGGTGAGGTATAGTTGATTCCTTGCTTGAAGACGGACCACGGTGCGAAATCGAGTCGTGAACTAATGGACATATGATTTGTGGCTGTACACCGAAGTTCGAGTAAGTTGCTTCGACCTTCAGCATGTAGGTAGGAGGAAAACGAAAGTTTGATTTTGAGGTTTTTCTGCAGGATTCTTGAGTGTCCGCGTTCGTCGAACGTGAATTACAACGACGTAACGGAAATCGAGCGTCTAGGTGGAAACCTATGATTTTGTGGTTTTGTTTCAGTACGGTAGGCAGAAAACATGGAATTAACGTTACTAGAAGCTACCTACCTAGCTGGAGCGGAAAAGGGGAGACAACGCGGAGCATGAAGGCGAAAGTACCCAGTGGCCAATGAACAGCAGCACCGTTGTGGAGTGGGTGCGCGCCGTATAAAGCTGGATTGCCTCCCTGGCATGTTGTCGTCCTAACGATCCCACTGCACTACTTACCACTGTCGTTATAGATGCATTTGGCGCAACTATAAGTCTGGATTCAGCGACTGAACATCTCCGGTGAAATCGTCAAGTAAAGGAGGAAATTGATCAGTAGTCCAGTGACTTGATATTATTAACCAGAGTGCTGAGTAACTACCATCATCTTCAACGAAATAGAGCGGTCTGTATCTATAGACTGAAAGGTGCCCAAAATGACTGCGCTCTATTTGGGCAACCTTCAGTCTATAGGTACATAGTACTACATACCGGTCTATTTACAGCTATATTTTGGCCAGCTTTCAGTCTATAGACACATACAGCGATAATGGCTGGCGGTTCCGTCCGGCTAAAGATTGTAGTTAATAATTGATGTTATTAACGGGATACCGGAGATAGCCTTTTTGACGAGTTTGTACTTCACAGCTGATCAGGGGTTAGCATTCATCTTACGGTTTTCTTAACCTTTTTTTTTCCCCCCGGTCATCGTAGGTTATTGTATGGGTGCCATGAGGGACGCTGGACCCGTTTTCCAGCAGGTGCAGCTCCCCACCAATGGCTGGAGTCTAGGTGCAGCTCCCCACCAATGGATGGAGTCTTCCAAGAAAGGGTCACTTCGGGAGGGCGCTCTCGTCACCTCCCCAATTGGTACCTTAACCTAATTGTTCCAATTTCATGATCTAGAAATTTGAAAAAGAGCTGAAGCCTTGGCTATGCTTTCACCACTACCCCTAGCTGTGCCTTGTGAGTGTTATTAATTAAAAAAAAAAAAAGAAGAAGAAGCTGAAGCCTTGGCTATACAAAGTTTGTTTTCGGAACAGGACCAACCAAAAAAAAAGTCAATGAAGTTTGCGTGTGCTCCTCCTTCCCCCTCCCCTCCCACTCGCTTCTGTTCCCACAATCTTCCCTCCATCCTCGTCGTTTTTTATTTTGTTTTCCCGCCTATTTGAACGAACCGCCATTCCGTCTCGCTCGCGAACTTCTGCATCGAAGTTGACCGCCAGCGCATTCTTCAGGGACCTCACCGGTCCAAAAAGGGCCTCACCGGTCCAATAAGGGCCTCACCAGTCCAAAAAGGGCCTTACCAGTCCAAAAAGGGCCTCACCGGGCCAAAAAGGGCCTCACCGGTCCAAAAAGGGCCTCACCGGCAGCACCATCCAAAAAGGAAAAGGAAGAGCGGAAGATGGCCTCACACTGGCTCACAGGTCCGTTTTGCCCTTAGCGCGCGACAGTAATCCGTCCAGGGGAAAAGGTAGTGGTGGTTTAAAGTTTAAAGTGTAAACAAGAAACGACCCTCGACGTCCTTCTGGCATCCATTAAAAGGATTGGAACGATACAGAGAACAAAGATTAGCATGGCCGGATGTGCAAGGATGACATGCATAAATCAAGAAATGTCTGAAATGGTTTTTTTTTTTCAGAGGGGAAAGATCCTCAAGCGAGGTTGGCGACAAACTAAATGAAACCGCGCTCTGTGAAACAGTGTTAAAAAAGGATGCAGAGAAAGTTGTGAAAAAGTTGTGAAAAAGGGCCGCGCGCCACTACACAACACTGTACATGCATTTGGATGCTTTCTTGCCCGAATACATTCACAACGTTGGAATCGTCCGAATGCACCTGGTCCCTCAAGCGTCCAAATGCATGTACAGTGTTGTGTAGTGGAGCGAGGCCCAAAGTTGTGAAAACGTTGTGAAAAAGTTGTGAATGGTGACGACATTGAGAAAGGGGTGACGACGTTGAAAAAGGACGGAGAGAAAGGGGATGTTATTATTCCGCAGGTTTTTGCATGTTTACTCTCTGCCTTGGATATGATGGGACGGTGACTGACGGAAAGTGACGCATGCTGATGGTGGCAGAGGGAAGGACTGAGGTGTGCAGCTGTGCGTCTGGGTGAAGCTGGTCATTCGGTGTTCGGATATGTCATCAAGCCCAAGAGAGCTGAGGACTTTGCATCCCTAGTCAAGGAAGCGGATAGAATCGAGTGCTACCCGATTTTGTACCAACGAGATGTCACTGAGGTGCGTTACTCGTGGCGTAAAGTTTAGTGACGCAACATGAATTTGTTATTATTATATAATGAAACATAAAGTTGATAAAAAAAATAAAATGCTCTCTCTCTTTTGAGGCCCTGTCCAATCATCCAATTTTGTTTCGTTCTCTCTCTCTCTCTCTCTCTCTCTCTCTCTCTCTCTCTCTCTCTCTCTCTCAGTTTCGGCCCTTTGTTCCAGGGGTTCATTGCTTTTATTTTTTATTTTTTAGCTTTTAGTTTCGTAGAATATGTTATCTTAATGTTTCATAGAACATTACATTATTATGACTAAATGAAACAGGGAACCCCCCCCNCCTTAGACTCACCACTTGACCACTTGCCGACCTTCTAGAAGGACTACAGCTAGGCCTCTGGACTCTACTTGGACTCCTACCTTACAGGTCTACAGTTCGAATTTCCCTACAGCCTACAACCTACGACGACCTACTTACCACTGGCTATCGTGCAGGTCACGGGTTCAACTCCAGGGAACTGTGCAGATACTGTACACAGGTAAGCTGAGGTCAAGGGATCGACCCCTGGGCTCTGCATCGGCTACTGCCAAAGGTGAAAACTGTTTCAAAGATCTCGACTCTGGATACATCCGCCTGCTACTCCGCTCTACTCCTACTTCACTGTGCAATATGGCCGCCTTCCTTCAACAGCACAGCGCTGCCCAGCCAGGGCTCTAGTGCATGCCAACTCGCAGATAGCGCACAAGCGCTCAGCGGCACTTCCATACTTCTTGCGAATGAGCAATCTATCAGTCCCTATATTGACTTGGAATGGTCCTTGACTGATCCCAGCCTCTGATTCTCTTGGCTTGAGTTGGACACGTTACCGGGTGCCTGCAGCCTGTTTGCTTCAGGAATGTTGAGGTCGGTACCTCCCTGAGTTTTCCTTGGTGTGCTGCTGCTTTTTGGTCTGTGGAACATAACCTTTGACTGTGGCACATGACTTTTGCCTCTGGGATGTGCCTTTCGACTGGGCAACAGTTGGACTTGACCTCTGGGATACCAGACTTAACCTTTCTGAATCCAGCCGACTCGGCCTCTTTGACTTGCGGACTCTTGACCCTGGAACCCAAATTCGGGGTCTGCAGCGTGAACTGCCTTTCAACTTTCAAGTGTCCAAAAGCAAAGCAAATACATACGAAAATCATTCTGGAGCGAAGCTGTATGGGAATACTTTCTGATGTGTATGAGCACCGAATTGAATGAATCAAGCAATACCAACGGGCATAGCTCAGTTGGTACACCCATGAAATGCTGAAATACACAATCTAGATAATGAAAATTCTGCATTACCCGGGGCTGGTCAACTTGACAATAATAAATCCAGGTCATCCGCCTTCTGAAAAAAAAAAAACAAAAAAAAAACAATCATGTTACCCTCATGGTAACCGCGGACCCGGACACTGGACACTTCCGGACTGTTTTCCGGACCTGTGTCTGGACCAGTCCAGACATCACCGGACACCGGACTGTCCGGACTGCGTTGGCAGGGACAAGATGTCCGGGGAAAAAAAAAAAAAAAAAAGGCGGGGACACCTCCACCTGTCCCCAGAAGCGCAACTTGTCAGTGCAAATTTTCAGTTCTTTCACTCGAGTGATTACGGTGTGTGCTCCTGATCTCCTCGTTGCCTCTTGCACCTGTTCCATTGTCTGAGTCTGTTCATTGCAATAATCCCAGCAGATGGACATGCTCTTCGGGTCTGTGCAGTATATCTAGTGTCTTCTTTGTGGCTTGCGCTTGTGCCAACTTCTGTGCGTCTTTCACTGTTCTGTCTCATTCATGTCATTTCTTCTGCATGCCTTCACGAATCGGTGTCGTGTATCTCATTCCGTATGTGTGCCTTTCACTGGCATGCATCATATGACTCATGCATGTCATTTGCTTCTTCGTGCTTTTCATTTGATCTGGGTTATATGTATCTCATTTCTTCTGTGTGCCTTTGACGTGTGAAACTACAACCACGACCTTCTTTTTCGATGTTTATCTTTTCTGTATTGTTCCAATTTTAACGGATGTCCCGGAGGACAACTACCAACCTGACCTCACACATCTTCGGTGTGCCTTTTTCACGGCTGTCCCTTTCACAAGCACTGTGTTCTGTGTGCCTTCCACTTGTGCCCCTGTGTGTGTCCTCTGTGTGCGTTGCATGTTTGTTTGTTGCGAAGCAACAAACATGACCACACTCATGCGGGACCTTTGTGTTCATTTTCATGCTTGCATCATCTTCTCTGTGGGCCTTCCATGTGTGATTTGTCTGTGCAGGTCCAGACTGAAGACGGCGAATGGTTTCCTGCGTACGTGTATCACAGGCCAGGCGTGAACCGCTCCAGGCCTGTTCCAGGCGGGGACTGGCTTAACAGGTTGCGATGATGAGCGTCTTCATCGAGGAGTGCTCTGTCTTCAGCGCGTCTTGTTCCGCTTAACGAATTCGCCGAGACGCATAACGAATTTGCCTTCCACTTTGCCGCATCAGCTCGCCCGCCAAGACGCTTGACAAATCTGTCATCGGTTTCTGAGAGGCATGACAACAAGTTGAGCGTCACTTTGTGTACCCCATGTATACGACGCATATAGATGAGATCTGTGGAACTCCACGGAGTTCGTCAGAGAGCTCGTTACTTTGTGTACCCTTTGTATACGACGCATATAGATGAGATCTGTGGAGCTCCACGGAGTTCGTCAGAGAGTTTGTCAGAGAGTTTGTCAGAGAGTTTGTCAGAGAGTTTGTCAGAGAGTTCGTCAGAGGGTTTGTCAGAGGGTTTGTCAGAGAGTTTGTCAGAAAGGATCAGTGTACCGTTCCTCCTTTGCTTGCTTCTGTCATAAAAGTCTTCCTTACAGTGGTTGCATGATTCCCTAAAATTCGAGAGGTACTTGAGATCACCTGCGCATTTCGGACTCTCTCACGTCATTGAAGTTTGTCCTCCCTAGTGCAGTGAGCCTCATGTGCACCAGAAGCGCGTGGAACCGATGACCTGCGCGTTCTGTCGTCTGTCTTCGTCTTCGTCTTTGTCGTCTTTTCAGTCGTAGCACTGCACCTCGTCGGCACCGCTTGGTTCGAAGCGCTGGCGCCGCAGGAGAGATCCCTCGTGCAATTTTCATGAGTTTCTGTCTGCGCCTTTCAGTCGTGCTACGTGGTTCTTCTTGATCAGCTGCAGCAGCATTTCGAGTCACAGCTCGTCAACTCGAAATGACATTTGAGTCATCGACTTACCGACGCCGACATTTGGAGTTGCAGCTTGTGCACTCAAAATGATTAGATGATTGCTGGAAGAGGGATTCGAACCCCCGACACACGGATTATGATTCCGCTGTTCCAACCCACTAGACTCTTCTGCCTTGAACCACTTGACATTTCCCCTGGTCACAGATTCTTCTTCTTCTTCTTCTGTTTTTTTTTTTTTTTTTTTTTTTTTTTTTTTTTTTTTTTTTTTTGGGCTCCCTTTTTTTGGGGGGGGGCTCCCCCTGTTAAAATTGGGTCCCGGCTCCCTTTGAAAAAATTTTTTTTAAAAAAATGTTTAAAAAAAATATAAAAATTTAAAACACCCTTTAACCGCCCTCCCCCCCCCCCCCCGCCCCCCCCCCCTTGGCCCCCTTTTCCCCCCCCCCCCCCCCCTTGGGATTCTTTTTTTTTTTTTTTTTACATTTATTTATGAGGCTCAATAGCTTCTGT